TGCTCTGGCTTTCGCCCAAGATCCTCAAGAATCTTCTCCCTTAGCCTGGAGCAGGGCCTTATTTGGGGCGTTTTGTTTACACGGTGTCTATACAGTAAGGCACATACGGTTCTGCTTTCCAAACCGCTACCTACGTTCATGGCGGAGATTTTCGACGGCTTGTCACGAAACGTGCACTTGAAGATAAACTCTGCGATTGCATGTTGTGAATAGTGGCGTTTAGTCAAGAGCCTACAGTTGCTATGATTCTCCAAGAAAGAGAAAACAGAACAAATCATGGGGAATCTGGCTACCTCACTGTACACGTTCTCCGGAACTGTTCGTTTTATGCCAGTAAAGCGATATACTGCCTAGGGTAAGCATCGTTGTGTGAAACACATAGGGGGTCGTACTTTTTCTCTGGGGAAGGGGGAATCGTATTTGGTCGTTGGGATAGAGAGGGAGGGGGTCGTATGTGCCTTTGAGAGAAATTTGTCGCGTTGGTTTTCCGGTTGTTGACTTTTTGCGTGATTTTTCCTGTTTCATGTGCACTATATACCCCGCTCGACGGAAAATTTTTGGGTGAAAAAACTGGACTGGGGGGAAATGGGGAAATTGGATAGGTAGGTGTTGGGGAAGGGGGGGGGTCGTACCGAGACCCTCATTCAGGTGGGAGGGGGTCGTACTGACATCCTCTCTCGGAGGAGAAGGTCGTACTTACACCACCACCTCACACATCACGATGCTGTACCCTGATCCTGCCTCCTCACAAATCGTTTTTTTGCGTCATCCAATGCTTATGTCATCTGACAGTGAAAAAGGAACCGAAAACACGAAATATCGAATTCGGCACCGAAAATAGCCTTTTTAACTCTTCGGATGGTGAACTAGGGAGGCGTCAGAACTGCCCTTGTGCGCAGCTCCATAGTCACTTACTGTGAATCAGCGAAAGTGGGACAGTAATAGGGACTGCGGGTTAAAGTACTTGAACAAGAGGAGCCCGCGAATTTCGTGAGCGCGGGGACGGTTTTTTTTAAGTTAGCTTCATGTTTTGAGTGTGGCTCAGTGCTTCGTGTACTGATCGGGGCACGCCATCGAGGTTGTGATCATTTCCTGAAAAATACGACCCCCTAATTCCATCCTCAAGTACGACCCCCCCTCCCCATGCTACCTACCACTTTCCTAGATTTTCCCAACTTCCTACCACTTTTCCCCCGATTTCCAATTCTTCAGCCAAGAATTTTTACTTCGAGGGGAGGGGGGATATGTAGCCATTGTGAAACAGGAAAACTTCTCAGATTCTCCCTAACCTACCAGTTTTTCCGAAATTCCCCGAAAAATTTCTGGGTTTTTCCCCAAAAATATTATGTCGAGCGGTAGAGGGGTGGGGAGAGGTCTTCAGAATTCAACTATCTATATTTATACTTATATTTATGGATAGACTTGAAAGAGCAGCCCTGGCGTCTGGAGTTCTTACTTCGGACGATATATCGACGACATTTTCATTGTCGGTAGATCACGGACTGCATTACGACAGACATTTGGAAAGCTCAATGGAATGTGCCAGTCAATAAAGTTGACAGCCGAACGCCCTTCCCCAGATGGTTTCCTCCCATTTCTGAATACCAAAGTCAAGATTTCGGAAGGTCAGATCAACACCATATGGTATAAGAAGTTGGCATCCCAGAACATCCTCATTCACGCGAGAAGTTGCCATCCTCTTTACATGAAAGTGAACGTAGTCCGCCATATGGTTAAGACATCACATGAGCTGACCTCCACGAATCACGAACAAATGGAGAGAGAAGTGAAGAACATCTTGCGGCAAAACGGATATAGAATCGGCAGCTTCAAAGCTGGAGGCCTTACCGATCACCTTATAATACTCCACTTGTGTTACCTTTC